TTCAATCTTTGCAGGTTAATCTAACCTAGCTAGGATAAATCAGTTTGTAACTGGACAGACATCCCAGACATGCAGGCACATGTGGAGGAGGGTGTGGCCAGGCTCTGTCAGGATGCTCTGATTAGGGACGGGTTCTCCCACTTCTGACCAGCCCAGCAGGGAATTGATAACAATGTTTATCACCCCTAAATCAGTGTTTATCTCCCGATTAAGAAAACAACTGGGGGACATTACCTATTGATTTTGCCTTTGTCCCCTCTGCCACAGCATGGACTGTAGCCATGTATTACCTAGCCTACCTATTGATTTTCCCTTTGTCCCCTCTGCCACAGCATGGACTGTAGCCATGTGTATTACCTAGCGTGTGGTCTGCTAGGTAATACACAGATATCTCTCAGCAAGGCAAAGGTGTGGGGGAAATCCTGCTTAGCAGGGAGTGGTCAGGGGGTGGGTGGAGAGCAGCCTGCAGTCTACTGGAGCTCCAGCCAGGGAGCAGTCTACTGGAGCAGAGAGCCCTGCCCATCCCAGAGAGCATGCCAGGATGCTGGGGGGGTCTGGTTTAACTTAAAACAGCCAGGGGTCTGGGACAGATATTGCATAAACTGTTTTGACCCAAATAATTTAAGTCTGATACTACAGTCAACCAGGTTTATCTCAAACTTGTTTCAGCCATTTTCAAACTGGTTTATGTGCACTGAATGTCTGTTCTGTTACTGGTTTAAACCAGTTTCTGATCAGTTAAATCAGTTTATGTGTAATGTCTGTCCCTAGCCAGGGGATCTTTGTCTCTCATGGAGTTCACAGTCAAGTTTAGTTTTAGGTTAGCCAAAACTGAAGCAGATTCAGTATTTTCTGACTTTTCTTATTTCAAGTAACTGGCATTGGTAACAGGGGAAAAAAATTAAGAAAAACTTATGATTTATGGTGTTCAATCAGCATGCTCAACTCTGTAGCTACAGAGGGGCATAGGTCCTTGTCCAAAGGAGTATAGCATCTGAGGGTTATATTTTGACAGCCTTACTCATGCTGAGTCCTCTTACTCCAAAAGTAAGACAAAGGGATTTGAATGCCCAGTTCCAAGAATGGAATTCAAAAACCAAAGTTAGATGTTTAAATTTCATATACAGTGAATGGAGAAGAGTGAAATGTGAAGAATGAGCTGCACCACACACATCTACATAGGACATGTTTACTGCACAGCTGATTAATTAGCTCTGTAGTAAATATCTCAGGGCTTTTGGCTGCATGCCCTGCACATGATCAAACTGTTGCTGATTGCTCTGGAGTTAATTGCTCTTGGGTGCACATTCAAATGGTGTGCCCAGAAGCAAAAACTCTGGAGGAATAGGCTCCAGAGTTTATTCATGTGCACTAAATGTTTGTGTATATACTCCCAACATGAGTAAGGGAAGGGAGATATACCTGTGCCGTGAATGTAAGCATCTATTCATTGTCCTGAGTTAGGTTCCTCTGTGAAAATCCTGTCTTTCAATGCTGTGTATGGAATTTTGCAGAAAAATGTTGAAAGCATAGCCTGGAGCCTAGATCTTCCTCTGCCCATGTGAATGTCTTCATTGTTGGGCTATAATGCCATTCTCTCCCTCTTGCTTTCTCTCTCTCTGTCTCCAAGAACCTGCATGCCTTTCCAGCTTCTTTAGGAAGTGTTATGAAGTCTCTTTCCTTCCCCCAACTTTACTTATAGCCTAGTGTTTTGGGTATTCTTCTGGGAAAATGAAGATGTGTTTTGAAGCCTCAGGGAAAGCACAGAACCAGTTCTCTTGCTTCTTAGGCAAGTGTTCTCACTACTAGGCTATTAATAGAAGATAAAGTTTACCTTCTTCTCAAACTATGTTTTTGAATAAAAGTCCATGATGGCCACTGTAATTTATACTGGACTTATTACTGTAAGGGTATGCTCTTGGATACATGTACTAGATTGAACTCTTCAGGGGATCTGGGCTCAGGGAACCTAGTTTATAAATTCCTGGTGGCCTTAGGCATGAGGTCTGTGCAAAGGTACTAAGCTCAGCATGATACATGCACCTCTGGGTATACCCACTATTTGAACTGAAATCTCTTACCTAAGCTTACTAGAGACAATGTAGGAACCTACAGACACCTATACGATTAGGTGCAGTTTTTGTAGATTTCATTCCTAGGAAATAGGTGCCTAAATTGCAGACGACACATATAACTCCTTTATGGATCCGGGCTAAATTACCATTCAGAGTGAGAAAAGAGAGCAGAATTAGGACAATCAAATTTATATAAAGCCATTTAATACAATAAGTTTAAATAATGCATGTTATACAGACTCTTGACACAATGGGTAATGCTTCAGTCTTTGCATAAGGAATTTCTTGTTTATATTCTCATCTAGCTTTAATTGATTATCCTTAAAAAGCATTCTGTAAGAAAACAGTTAGCAGCAGCATAATAATACAGTCAGGCGCCTGGAGCTCAGGGGCAGCAGTGACTTCTGTTTCCCACTGTGCAGCAATCATACAGCTGTCATTGGCCGCCATTTTTTTCACCCCTCCCGCCAAGGTTGGCACCCAAAGCAATTGTCCTGGTCGCCCCGCCCTATTTATGTCACTGACTATTTATAATGATGGGACTGAATGAAAATGAGATTTCTCAGAAGATAAATGGCAGAAGTGATCAAGTATAAAGGGAAGGATGGAAGAAGGCCCCAAATCCCAAGCAATTATAAGGACTACATTCAGAAAACCAGTGTATTTCACTAAAATGCCAATTTAGGAGTAATGAGTAGGCTTGTCTTCATAAAGCTAGGCCCCTGCCAATCCTAAATCTGTTTCCTACATTTTCAGTGCAGCATATGAAATGCAGGCTAAGTAGGCAATGAGGTATACTGTTGTGATGTGAAATGGATTCAAAGGACATGAAGGAGGTTTGAATCATCTGCATCTTCTATGAGGTGGTGATTGAAGTAGAGAAAAGACAAACCATTATTCATTTGCAGAAAATGTTTTATCCTTTGTGCCCTGTGTGGCTGGTTGCTGTGAGGGAAGGAGATTATCGTCATGTCCATGTCAAATCAACAGGTTGTTAATTTTGACCAGGGGCAACACGTATTTATGGTATTTGATGGATAGTTATAAATGAATTAGTCAGTAGCAAAATGAACTTTATTTGAACCAAGATCGTTTTCAGCAGATCTGAAAAGTGGGATTTATGATTGGGTCAATGCATTTTTAAATTTTCTTTGGCAACAAATGGATGTGTGAATGCAAAGAGGCATATTTTTCTAATCTCTAAACACAAAATAAACCTTGCTGCCTTTACCACAGAGCAAGTATGAATAAATATTAGCAGGTAATTTGAACTTTGCTTCCATTTGTTGAACTTCTCTATTCTCTTATGGTTTAGGTTTGTACTGGGGTTATAATATAACATTCCTGTCACTGTAAATGCAGCCCTCACTTTAATTGTTGTTAAATGAAAAAGGTTCAAAGAGATTTGGTTCTCAAGGTTGCTAATGAGCACCCAGTTCTCTTCACCCTTAATGAACCAAGATTTGTATGTGGGGTTTATTTTGGGGGGTGTGGAGGGAGGCAAGAGTTCACACAACTGAACAATGACTTTACAGTGTAAAGAGTATGCAGCTGTGCAGTCTGAAGCTGTCCTCAGTTATGAACAACAAAGCTTAAATAGATTGTACTGTGAAGAGGTACAGCTCTTTGAGTATGAAGCATAGCTTTTGCTTCTGCTTCACTGACCTGTCTGCTCATAACAGGGATGGGCCCTTGATGAGAGCTTAGCTAGGGAGAGCTGCATAGGGCAACTCTTTCAAAATCTCTTCCTGTAATTTAAATATAGAGGAAGAAACAAAATGAAGTTTCAGTTAATTTCTTCCTGGCATGAGTTTCCTTAAAAACCCCAGGTCCTGCACTGAATTTATTGATTCCTAATTCACTCTGGCTGATCTCTTGTGCCCCTAAACTAAGTAGTTTCACCCAATAGTTTATTTTCTTCCTAAGGCTTGACAGTATAGATTAGAAGCTCGCTCGCACTCTCTCTCTCTCGCAGACACGCATGTTTTGTTAAAAAAAAAAAAAATGATCTCAGTGATTTTCTAGAAGCTTAAGTCATGCTCATTGGAAATTGGAGCCGAAAGTACATTTTCTTAAATATATCAATTTGATATATGTAATAGTGAATATTCTATTATGACCATTCCTTGAACTGGTACCGTGTGTGTGTGTGTGCGTGTGTGTGTGTGTGCATGCACGCACACGTGCAGGTACATTTTCACAGCAAATATATACATGCAAGTGTGTGTACCTGGAAATGGTACATGGATGTCAATAAACTTTAATTCCTGTATATACCAGACAATTGTTAATATTTAATATAAGATATGATCAAATGTACATACATTTGTTCAAATGTACATAATCATGATATGATCAAATGTACATAAGATATGATCAAATGTACATACATTTCACAAATACACACAGTATATTTCTGTAACAGCATTGTACAACTAATTAAAAATTACCATCCATGGTTTAATCCTTGAACTAAAGCTTTTCAAAATTCAAATACAAAAAAAATATTTCTGCTAATAGCTGGTAACACTGAAAGCAGTTTCTGCAACAGACGTCTTTTTTTCTCTCTCTCTCTCTCTTTGGTTAGGATATGTTGTTAAGCTGCCTAAAGATCATAATTTTGGTTTTTAATAATGCACAAATCACCAGAAACATCTGCTATTGCTCTCAATCTCATACTAAAGGGAGAAAGAATTGTAACATTTTTGTTTGATTTTAAAATTAGAATGATTAGGAAAGGGGGGGAAAAAAAACGAGGATTTTAAATACCTTGACGTGTGCATATGCAGATTCAAAACTTTAGATTGTTCTCCAGAGTGGCATGGTGGTTTGATAATAATGCGAACGGTGGTGAAAGTTGACAACCCCCCATGGATGACCCTTTGTGCTGCCTTTTGCCTAATCGAATTTTATGTGCGTTTCCAGATAGCTGATCAGCTTCCCTGGATTTCGCTGACGACACAGGAAAGCTTTGCCTGAAGATGGAAACACTGGAGTCGGAATTGACCTGCCCTATCTGTCTGGAGCTGTTTGAGGACCCACTGCTGCTGCCTTGTGCTCACAGCCTCTGTTTCAATTGTGCGCATCGCATATTGGTCTCCCACTGTGCCACCAACGAATCAGTGGAATCTATCACCGCCTTCCAGTGCCCTACTTGTCGTTATGTCATCACCCTCAGTCAACGTGGTCTAGACGGACTCAAGCGCAACGTCACCCTGCAGAATATTATTGATAGGTTTCAGAAAGCTTCCGTGAGTGGGCCCAATTCTCCCAGTGAAACCCGCCGAGAGCGGGCATTTGATAGCAACAGCATGTCATCCAGCGAAAAAGTTCTCTGCCAGTTCTGCGACCAGGATCCTGCCCAGGAGGCAGTGAAAACCTGTGTGACTTGTGAGGTGTCCTACTGTGAGGAGTGCTTGAAAGCGACTCACCCAAACAAGAAGCCATTTACGGGCCACCGTTTAATCGAGCCTATTCCAGACTCTCACATCAGAGGATTAATGTGTCTGGAGCATGAGGATGAGAAAGTGAACATGTACTGCGTGACTGATGACCAGTTAATCTGTGCCTTGTGTAAACTGGTTGGACGGCATCGCGATCATCAGGTGGCAGCTTTAAGCGAGCGCTATGACAAACTAAAGGTTAGTGATACTTATTCAATCTTTGTAGCTCAGCAAGTGCAATGTGAAAGGAAACTTAATAACTGCTGAGTTGGTTGATGGGCAAATATATTAGGTGCATTAAATAAAATTTACTTCAGTATTATCTCACAGTGAATATCCAAATACGGAGGTAAACCTAATGCATTATCTTGCAGTAAGTGGCAGGGTTTTTAATGTGGGGTGCAAATACATGGACACTGAGTGAAATTTTAGGCTGGCTCTGATAATTCTGAGGATGATTTGTTTTTAAATTCAGTCCCATTAATTTTGAAAGCCCTCTTCTTTACTAAGCAGGGGAAACATTTACACACGCTGGCTTCCGGGATCCCACTTCCCTTACCAGCCAGGGATATTAAATACTGACTCCATTTTCCCACCATTGCTTTCACTGGCATTCACACAACACACGAAAGTGAAAACAAAAATGAAATTGTTTCAGAGCTACCTGTAACATTCCCGTGGTTACATGACCTTCACTTCCACAATCCAGCAGCATTTATCCACTGCTTCTCTGACCGTCCTGTGCTCCACTGTAGAATGTCTTTGGTATGGTATCAGAATTAAGCTAGGTAATAGGCATGCTTTGGATGCTCTCCAGTTTCAGGGTGAAATTAATTTAACAAAGCTTCAACTCAGCTAGTGGTAACTAAGTGGAGTAGTCTCATACCTTTTTGAGCCCAAATACTTTTAGTTGCCAGGTCTGGATTCTGCTGCAGAGCAGAATAAAGAAGACAGACCCTCAAGTCTCCCCTCCCCCCTCATTCCCTGAGGAATTGCAGCTGTAGATATTTAAAGGAGAGACTACAACACAGAGATCATGAGTATGAAGGTAAAAAGACCATTCATTTTCTGCAGATCTATTTAGATGGAAGATGCTAGGTTTTAGCAGTAAGAAACTGTAAGCAAATAGGTTTAATTAACCTAGAGGTCTTTTCTCAAAAAGATCTTCCCATCAAAATATAACCTATGTATATGCATTGTGTAAATATGTGTATGTTTATATGTGTATATATGCATATATTTTGTCATGCATAGTATACATGCCAACACTCGTGGTATATTTGCCTGTATATATGCATGTGGATACACGCGCGTACACACATACAAATCATGCAGTTGTGATATATATATTAATACAATTATTTATTTATTTGTTAGAGATATATATATATATATCTATCTCACACACACACACGTGTGTGTGTATATGTATAATATATGTAATATTATATATTATATATTATGTTAAAACAGTGAAAAGTATTGTAACTGGTAGAAAACATTACCTATAAGTGGCAACTAGAAAATTTTGAAGGCTTCCTTTTTTAATAATTATGAGTTATAGTTGTTTGTATTATATCAAATCTTTTCTTTGATTATATACAATTTATGGTTGCAATTGTTAATATTTAATGTAAAACATGATAAAATGTGAACATACATTTCATAGTATTAATTTGCATTTCTTAAATACTGATTACCAATCCTAATAATGTACTATTATTATTTTGTGGGTAAATTTGATTAACTATATTACTGTTATTATTCATATTATATTTGTAGGTATACACAATTTAAAATGAAATACCTGCCAGAATTAAATACATATACCTCAGTAAAATAAATCATTGAATCTCAATTTTTTATTTATTTGAGCATACCTCAACAGCATATTTTAAAATTTTTCTCCATCTCCTTCAGAGCTTTAATATTTTCAGTAGGTAAAAGAACAGATTTAAAGCCATGCTCACTTCTTCACTGAGTAGATATTCTGGCAGGTTTAGTCAAAGTTTGATTGTGAACATGAATACAAAGGGTAAGGTAGATAGGTAATTATCATATCATGCCATTTTGCTTAAGTGATAGTGCCCATCATTTTTTAAAACTGTCACTGAACATATTTTTACAACTAAAAAATCTTTTACATATCTCCTTAAATATTATCTTGTTTTATATTGGATTTCAAAGCCAGGCACCCTGCTGAGGATCTTGTGTTTCCCACAGATAACTGGCCTGTATGGAAGCCAGTTGGTATTCACTTCATAATGAGCAAACATCTCCCTCGTATAATTCCAATTCTCATCCATGTGCTGCCGTTGCAACACATTTACATTCTGGAAAGCATAATAATAGACTTCTTTCAGGATCAAACCCCCATTCTCTAGCCAGAGTCATGGTTATCTGGAAAGCACCCCCCATCTATTCTTTCCTTACCCTTCTTTCACAGGCTGAGGACCAAGTTCATTTTGTGCACCAAGTACCTGCAGCAAGATTTTCAGCTGGAGTAAATTGGCATTGCTCCTTTGAAATAAATGTATATTTATAGCAGCTGAAGATTTGGCATCAAGCATCTGCTAGAACAACAAGAGTTACAAGCTCATTTTTGTAATCAGGTCTCCTCCTTAATTACTGTTGTCCTTCAAGTCACTTGATCAATTTGCCCACATGGTTGCTTCTGTGAAAATGGGGACCTTGATCTTCAGTTTCTATAGGGTCTTTCATTCTTGTGGCTGCCCTTAATAAACTTTTAAAATTAATGAATGTTAACTAGAAGGCAGGGAAAATACTGCTGTTTGTTAAAATGTTATCTTTTTAAAAGATACTTGGCAATTTAAAAATACTTTTGAAAGAGTAATCAAGTGGGACTTCATGATATAGGAGACCCATTCATAAAGTTATAACGTGAATAGCTTCTTTAAAAAAGGAAAGAAAAAGTCCATCGTCACCAATAAAAGTCTTCTTTCACGATATATATCATGAACTAACCAGTTACTGGCTTTCACACCCCTACTACATTTATGTATATTTTCCTCCATATATGTTTTTCCCTTTTTATACATCGACATAGTAGGTTTGCTAACAGCAGCAACTGGTTAGTTCTTGATGTGTAACCCTGGAGTCAAGCTATGCTAACTACTTGCATTCTATTCCAGTAGTGTTGCTAATAATTTAAACAATATCTCATCCTTCATTAACCAGAGAACAAAAGATGCCACTACGGTCTCACTCCTTTTGTGGCAAAAATGAAACCCTTTCATTAAAGGTTCTGGTACACTTGTCTAACAGAGGCATCCATGCTAGAGTGGGTTTAACAGCCACTGTAGCAGTCATTAAAAAGGGCTGAAGATGAATATTAAAATTCCAAAAGATTTTGCCTTAACAGTTATAGCTTCAGTACTGACTATTCTCAATTTTCATTGGCTGTCTTGCAAGTTGAGGGCACCCCTGTTTCTACAGGAACAGGCCTTTTTATTTAGTTATAGGATATAATGAAAAATGTTATTTATAATAAAAATAGGGCATGGAAACTTATGCATATAAATAAATATCAGAGAACAAGTCAGTTTATATCAACTTGGTGGTGAAACTTAAAATTAACCATGTTATATAAACAATACGTGTCATTTTATAAATGTTAATGGAAGGCTCACAGCATTTTAGCCCCTTATGAATGTAAAGAAAGTCTATATTACTCAATTAGTATTCATCTCTTTTTCTTTTCTTCAAAATCATCATTAACACATAGCTACACGAGGCAACCGTATGATAAGATTTTTGGAGTAAGAGATATTTTCATAAGAAAGTCATAACGTGGATAGTCAGCTAATGTTTATTTTATGTTAATTAAAATGTTGCACTTGGACCCAACAAATAATAACACACCTCAAGCCAAATTCTCACCTAATGTAAATTATCTTGGATCTACTGAAGTTAATGGTTCCACTTTGATTTACACCAGCTGCAAGTCTGTTCCATAGTGTTCGTAAAGCAGTATCTCACAAAAGACCACACAATAGGAGCCAGTTTCGGAAGGGGCCCATATTACCTAATCAGGGGATATCTTTGTTGGGATCAAACTGCTGTGCTTCTCCTGGCTTTTGTGTAAGCCTTATTAATTATTAAATATTTTAATCATGTTTATGAAGGGTAGTCAAGATCCATGAGTAACATTCCTTAACTGCCAGAGTGTTTCTTCTTCCTTTAGTAGTTATGTTTTACATCTGAAGACCCACAAACAGAAGTGGGCCTTTTGCAAACTAATGTGCATGCTTAAGTTTGATTTTTCATAGAAAAAACAGACAGTAATGGCACAGTAAAAATCCACACTTTGAAATTTTATTGGTAGTATCCATAAAAATATGCCTCTCCTTGGTCTGAATCAAGGTACAAGGAAACTAATCAGGTTCCTTTAATAGCATCAAGCTCACAAGTATTTTCAATGAGAAGTAGCCATAAAATATTTAAGCGCAAGGAGAATCAAATTTACACCTTAGAAAAGTACTTTGAGCTTATTAAGATACAAGGCCTTCTGCCATGTCCAGAGTTTCTATAAATAAGGCAAACAATGCATGTGCACTGCTTGCATTTTAAATTTTAGGTTAAAAGCTTTCATATATAAATGTCTCTGCAGTGATACTGTAACACATGCTGACATTTTTTGTCCATTGTATGTTCCATTTTGTAAGTGTTTGGCATTATAGTGTCACTATTAACCAATTTGTCAGTATACAAAAGGCAAATTTTCTGTGATATCTTTTATTGGACCAACTACATAAATGGAACAGCTGTTGGACAAGCTGACAGAAATCAAGTGCAGTTTTTCAGGTCTAAGCACTTAATGCCCAAAACTTGTCGAAAAGATCTCCCAACTGTACAGTTAGTCCAATAAAATATATGACAGAAAATCCTTGCCTCGTATATGTTCTGGATCATGCTGCAAGTCTACTTTGTCAATATATTGTGATCCATATCAGAGCTGCTAACACAGCAAACCTATACTCAAATAAATAGTTCTCTTGATTATACAGAATTATGGGTTAAAATTTGGCCTATGCATACAAATTTTGCATATATATTTAAATAGTTTGCTATTGTCCGTGCATATGTGGTTGCGTGTGAGCATGTGTATGTGCACGCATGTATTAGAAGCATCTCCAAGTCTGTATATATGTATGTGTATGTTTACATACAGTATTTAT